TCATAATTTAAAATACCCAATATATAATAATTTAATAATTTTGTAACAAATAATAATAAGATTATTATTATTATTATATGATAGTAGAATTATTAAATAATATCATATTTATTTAAGTTTTAGTTCATAATTAATATATGTGAAAAAAATATTATTAAATAATACTATCACGTTATCATATATAGTACCACCCTTAATATATATATATATATGTATATGTGTCATGTGTGTGCATGGGGAAGGTAACTTCTGGGAGGAATTGCTGCAAATTTTGGCTTCCAGCTATTGCTTTGCCTGAGTTGTACAGATGGCAGTGTTATATATACGGATTATTTCTTATATCTATATATATATATATATAACTTTTTCATCCAAAAAAAAAAAAAAAAGAAGCCATACAATGCAATACGTACATAATCCAATTTATTTCCGAGTTATTTACTTGTCGGACCGTGTATATATATATATATATATATATAATATATACATATCTATATTATATGTATATACCATAGTAGTCGAAATTAAATTTTCAATTAAAATTCCGAATTACCTAAGTTTGTTTCCTACATTCAAATCAATGAGTTTTTCTTTATATAATATGTAATGTTATTATTGTTATTCCATAGTATCTTAGTATATAGTTTAATTTTTTATTTAGTAAATATACATATGATTTGTTATTCTATGCAAATGGAGTTCATCGGACTCTATGTTCACTCAATGCTCACTAGCACCGCGACATTATGATCACTGAGATTCTTGATATGTCTACTAATTTAACCTCTTATACAATTTCTTTCGTGTTCTTTTGCATCTGAAGTTGAATGATTTTTTTGTCGCCTACTAAACTCGAAAAGTTTAAAAGATCAATACAAATAAAATACGGAGATCAATAGATAGTTATTTAGAATTAAACTCGTGCTTGGTTTTTTAGAAAATATAAAAAAAGAAACTTTTAAATTTTATATAAAAAAAAATACTCAATTATCGTTCATTAATAAAAAAAAGTATTTTCTCATTTTT